CTGGGAAGTAAGCTTTTTTGCTGGGTCTCAGGGACTTGGCAGGAAGCCAGGTCCAAACCAACACATGGCTGCAGCACAGGGCTTGCTGCCGTGCCACCTCCTGGGGTGCTGGGCCTGGGAGGACACAGGGGTCACAGAGTGGGGCACCGTGTGGGGACACAGGAATAACTGTGGCTGCCCAGGCTGGTGAAGAGAAGGTTTTGGGGTGACCTTTCAGCCCCTTCCAGTGCCTAAAAGAGGCTCCAAGGGAGCTGAAGAGGGATTTTGGACGAGGGCCTGGAGTGACAGGACAAGGGAGAATAGCTTCACACCGGCAGAGGGTAGGGTGACATTGGCAGTGGCCCTGAAATGGGGTGAGAAGGCTCGGGCAGCAGCTTGTCCTTTAGCCAAGGCAGCTTCTCCCAGGGAAAGCCCCAGCCAGGGCTCAGCTTGTCCCACAAGCCTGGGGCCAGGGGTGCTGAGGGGGGAGCGTCCCGCTGCCTGCGGGACAGCCCAGGAAGGACACGGTCGGCTCGGCACACTCAGCACCATGGACTGAAGGACACCAGGGCTTTGGGCACGTTGTTGCAGCTTTATTCAGCCCCAGTCCTTTAGCCAAGGCAAGCTGCACCTCTGCCGGGCTCACGGCCAGCAGCAGCGCAGTGCTCGCAGGAGGCCTCTTGGTCTTTGCTGCACGCAAGGACTCCTCAGAACGGAGGTTGTCCGAGCTGCCAGGGAGCTGACAGAGATGTCCCAGTCATTCTCCAAGGGCTGAAGTGCTGTGAGGGAAAGAAACAGAGCCCAGATAAAACCCCACGTCTGCAGAGAGCCTCTGGATTCCCGACAGACCACGCTCCCCACTCACCGCTCAGGATGTCAGCCTGACTGTCTGTGGTCTGCTCCCTCAGGCGCCGTGTGATGAGTCCTGGGCACAGAGCTCCATTAGCCCCTGCTCCCCAGCCTGCTCCCAGCAGCAGGGCCCCCAGTCCTCCCCTCCTCCCCCTCAGCAGGGCTGAACCCAGGAGCCCCCAGAAGCTCAGGGCAGTGGGACTGAGCAAGGCGGCCACCAAGCCCCACTGCGTGGGCAGGGCTGGCAGAGGGAGGCAAGGCCCTGCCCGGGGTGGTCGGGGCTGGGGCAGCCCCAGGACTGCCCCTCGTTGCTGGGGCAGCAGTGGCACAGGGGCCAGGCTGCCCCAGAGGCACTGCAGGGGCTGGCACTCACCGATGAACCTGACGGCCGCCAGGCGCACGTTGGCCTGAGGGTCCTGCAGGTAGGGCAGGCTCTGGTGGATGAAGTCTTCAGCCCTGCTCCTGCTCTTCTGCAGCTGCAGAGAGAACAAGGCATATCTCTCCAGGGTTGGGGCAGTTGGCTGGAGCAGTGCCTCCTGCCAGCACCCCCTGGGACGGAGAGGCCTCCCCTCCTGCTGGCTACAGGGAAGGGACAGGGGCCAGCAGAAGAGCCCCTGGGGCTCTGTTCTTGAGGGCAGCAACAGGGATGCAGCTCCAGGCTCTGCCCAGCTGCAGAGCCCCCAGCCCAGACATGGGATGGGAGCAGCCCTCCCCCAGCCCGGGCCCCTCAGCTTGTCCTTACCAAGCACGCTCCAAGCTCCCACAGCCGCTCTCTCTGCAGCAGGTGCTTGAGCGTCTTCCACTTCAGCAGCTCTGCGGCAGCAAGAAGGGCTTCCCTGGAGGCCTGCAGGACAGCAGGAGCTGAGAGATGGCCCGGGGGCCTGGGCAAGGAGACATTCCTGGGGGATCCTGCCTTTAGGAAGCTGGGACATGCCCTAGCCCAAATGTCTGGGAGCCTTTTGGGGACAGCCCTGGGGGACAGGCATGGAGGCTCAAAGGCCTGGCCTTTGACACAGCCTGTGGGGATGCCCCTGCTCAGGCCGTGGTGGTCACAGGCTGCTGCCAAGCCCTGCAGGAGCAGGCAGGGCAGGTGTTGCACAGGGCCGTGCCAGCTTCTCTGCCCCTGCTGGCGCTGGCTCCGCACGGACCTTCCCACGGGCTGTGCTGGGGGAGCGCTGCCTGCTGTCAGCAGGCCCTGCCCCGATGCCCAGGAGCCCTGGGGGTGTCAGCTCAGCCCTCTGTGTGTCAGGGCTCAGCCTTCAAACCTGTACCTTGGCCACGCTGGGGACCTGGTCGCTCATGCGGAAGAGGAGAGGCACCAGTGCCCGCCACACCTCCTTCCTCATCCTCTTCTCATCCCTGCCGACCACCAACTGCAGCAGCTCTGCGAGCATGCGGATGGACAGCTCTCGCAGCTCGCTGCACTCCTGGCAGGAAGCAGGAAAAGGGAGCTTTGCAAACAGCAGCTCCCTGCCCACAGTGCAGAGGGCCGTGATCATGGCTGCGGGGAGGGCAGCGGCTCCAGCCTCACATCCCAGAAGAAGCAGCACTGGGCTGCACGGCCCAGAAGCCATCCCAGGAGAGCCCAGGGGAGTGGAGCTGGCTCCAAGTGCTGCTCGCAGGGCTGGGCTGCAGGGCAGCTGTCATTGCCCAGCACCCATCTGAGGGGTTCAGGCTCCACATCAGCCTTACCGAGTCAAAGAGGGGTAGGAGCCTCCCCACAAGTTGCACAGCGATGAAGCTGGCCTTGCTCTTCTTCAGCTGACGCAGAACGTTTCGCAAGGCCAGCAGGATCTTCATCTTGGCGTCTTCGCTGCCAACTTGCAGGATCTTCATCATGGCCGGCAGGAAGAGTTCAATGTTTCTGGCCTGTAGAGAGAAGAGAATGTCCATTGGGTGAAGAGGGCTGTGCCTGAAAAGCTCCCCAGGCAGCCACCCTCGGCCCCACCGTGGCAGGGAGGGCATTTGGAGCAGTCACCCCACATTCTGAGTCCCAGGCCAGGCCAAGCCACTGCTTTCCACACAGCCCCAGCCCCCGTTTGCCGACAGGGCTGCCCCTGACACCGCCCTGCTCACCATCTCGGCTCTCTGCGACAGCCCAACGAGCCCTTCCAGCAGCAGCCTGGCCGTCCTCACGTTTGGACAGCCCTGGTGGCTCTCGACGTCGGGCTCCTCAGCCAACTCCTCCCACTCAGCCTTCCTGGAGGACGACTGCAGGAGCAAACAGAGCCGTGAGGGGCCGGCAGAGCCTGCAGGGCTGGTGGGAGGGGACCAGGGCCTTTAGTGGTCACTCACAGCCATGGGCTGGGTGCGGGGGCCTTCTGTGGAGCAGCGGAAGCACTGTCTGTGCAGCAGGTTGGCAAAGTCCTCCAAGATCTTGGCCAGCGTCTCTGGCATGGAGGACATCAGCTCCCACAGCTCCGGCGCAGTGCTGGAAGGCAGAGAAGGCAGAGCACTGTCAGCAGGGCTGCCTCAGCCACAGTGCTGTGGCCTGGAGCAGCCCCCCAGAACCTGCCCCTTGGAGCCCTGGCTGCGCGTCCCCGGGGGCCCTGCCCGCGCGGGCAGGACGGGGCTGAGGGCGTGTTCCCCGTGGGGCTGGAGCACCGTGCTGGCTCTGGGCTGGCTGGGCCAGCTTTGGCTGCTGTGAAGGCAGACCAGCCAGCAGGGCTGGAAAGCGTGGGGGGGTGGAGGGCCTGACTCTGCAGGCTGTCCCGCAGCATTCCTTGGCTCTGGCAGCCGGAGAGTCTTGGGGTCCCTCTCCCCACAGGGAACAAGCCCACCCTCAAGGCCGTCAGGGCCAGTACCTGTCTCCTTGAAGAGCCGCCTTGCACAGGAGGATGACCACTGTGGTGGGGTACAGGTTGGTCATCAGGCGAAGCAGTGACTCCGCTCTCTCCCACGCTGCCTGTGTGCTGCAGTATGGCAGGCTCTCAAGGATGCTGCTGACTATCTTGGGCGCCTGCAGGGGATACAGGTGAGGATGGCACTGCCCCCAGAGTGCAGCCATGTGCTCAGTTGCCCTTCCCATTCCTCTCTGCTGCCTTGAGGTGGCTTGGGGGGCCCGAGTCACGTGTGCTTGGGAGGGAGGGATGCAGGGAGGAACAAGACCCCAGAGGGCTGAAGGGCACGACAATGCAGCCACAGGCCACTTACGTCCGTCAGCCAGACGTCCGGGTCCTCCAAGGCCACATCCAGCAGGCTGCTGGGCACCTGCTGGTCGAGGATGCTGGCATCTCCCATGGCCTCGATGGCCACAAGGATGACGTCTGTCCTCTCGTGGGACTGCAGGTATTTTCCAAAGGTCTATGGCAGCAAGGAAGGAAGATGTGTCGCGCTGAGTGCCCTGATGGAGCTGCTTGGCTGAGCAGCTCGAGGGGCCCTGGCCGGACGTGCCCACCACTGCTGACAGCAGTGCCCACAGCAAAGCTGGCAGCAGTGCCTGCAGTCCCTGCATGGCAGAAGATGAGCAGAGAGGGTCCTCCTGCTGGGGGAGGAGGGCTCATGGGCACAGGCTGCTGGCCCCACCGAGAACCAGGGACTTGCTGGTGGCCAGGAGTACTGGAGCTCCTGCTGGGGCTGAAGCTGCTGCTGGGCCACTGGAGTGCAGCCCTCGTGCTGTCCCTGCTCAAGGACGGCAGGAACCCTCTCCACAGGGAGCTGAGGGCACGCCAGCCCCACTGCTGCGGGGTCCTTTGGCTCACACCAGTGCCCTGCTGGTGCCACGGACAGGAGTCCCAGCAAGGGCGCAGCTCCGTACCTTGGCACAGTCCCTGGCGCTCAGAGAACACAGCACGGAGGTGGTCACGGCTTCCCGGTGGACTTGGTCTGCTCTGTCCTTTAGCCTGGATTCGACTAAACACCAGGGCAAACACACAAGAGTCAGGAAGGCAGAGCAGCTTTGCCAGCAAGCTCACCAAACCTCCCTGGCATCTGCTGGTAAGGGGGCAGGAAAGGAGCAGTCCAGGATTTCAGGAGGGCATCAGGAACAGCTTCTTGCTACAGGCACTGGAGGGACCAGCCAGGGTGGGGGATCTGCTCTTCCCCACCAGGGAAGACGTGGCTTTGGGACAGGGAAGTCTAGAGGGGCTTTGCCTGTGGGGCCCACAAACCAGTGGGCTGCAAGATCCTGAAAGGAAGGGGAGGAAGGAGAGCAGCAGCAAACAGATCCTGGCCTTGAGCAGAGCACTCAGCATCTGCAGCAAAGTGGCAGCTGGGAAGCTCTGGGAAGCAGCTGGGAGGGGCAAAGGAGGTCAGGAAGCAGATCTATCAGGAGATAGAGCAGATGAAGCCCAGCACTGCTCTGCCTTTTTTACTTACAGATGAACTCAGCCAAGGCAAAAAGAGCATGGAAAGCTGCACAGCTTGTCTGTTCCTCGGAGAACCGGAAAAGGATGAGACGCCCCAGCAGCTTTCCTAGGAGCGGGAGCTGGATCTCCCCGGAGCAGACAGGTCCAGCAGTGCCTCTTCCGACGTTGGCATGGGCCTGGATGAGGGAGGCATGAGCAGAAGGGCTGAGGGCACAAAGGTGGTGCCAAAGCCCCCCACTCGAAAGTCTGCCCAGGGCTGGATTCCTGGAGAGTGCAGGCTTTGCAGAGCCCTGCGTCCCCCTCTCTCAGAGCAGCCATGTGGGCAGCAGCCCTGGCATGGAGAGCAGCAGGGATGGGGGCATGGCCTGGCTGGAGGGGGCCTGGTCCTTACCTGCAGAGTGGAATAGTCGGACAGCACACGGGTCAGCACATCGATCCTTGCCATGGCCCTCTCCCTCACAGCCTCTCTCTCGCATCTGGTAAAGTCCAGCAGCAGCTGGGACAAGAGAAGCAGCGGGTGAGCCCTGGGAGCAGACTCCAACACCAGCAGCACAGCTCCACTGCTGGGCCGTGCTCGCCCCATCCCTCAAGGCTTCCTCTCCCCTCCAGCAAAGTCTGCAATGGGGTGTCTGCCCCTGGATTCCTGCCCAGGTCGGGCACACAGGCCCAGAGCCAACCTCATGGCCAGGCAGGAGGGCAGGTGCCACCCTCTGCAGCCCCTGTGCTCCACAAGAGCCTGGGGCCTGCCCCGGCTTCCCCACAGGAGGTGGGCACCCTCCCCGCAGGGCACTCTGCCTGTTCAGCACTGCTCTGGGCACCACTCAGCCAGCAGTGGGCAAACCCTCCCCTCCAGGCTGAGGAACAGCCCCCCTTTTTGCTTGTGCCAGACCTCCAAGATGCCCTGCAGCTCCTCGCTGACTCGAGAGGCAGGAAAGCTGAGCACCACTGTCCTCAGCATGCTGTCCATGGAGTTCAGGGTCTGCAAGGAACACAGAGAGCAGTGGCAGTCATTCTACTGTTCTTCCCAGCCCCAGGAGAGCCATCTGAACCCCCTGTGCCACAGGAGGAGGAGGAGGATGCCCACACTTCCCTGGAGAGACATGGACATAGACAGTCTTAGAGGGCATAGCAGCCTATGGCACTGGATGCGGCCAGGCCCATGGGAAAAGGACAGAGGCATGAGGGTGGGAAAGACCCTGCCCTGCCTGGGATCCCTGCTCCTGTGGCAGCATGGGGTAGCCAGGGAGAAGGTCAGAGGGGCTGGAGGCCTCTGGAGCTTAGCCAGCACTTACCTTCATATAGAGGGCAAGGTCTGCTTTTGGCATTTCCTTCTCTGCAGGCAGCCAGAAGACACTTGAGAAACACGCGTGGAGGAGGCTTTTGGCTTTGCCCTCCAGCGCTGTGTCCACCAAGCTGCAGGGAGAGGGCAGGACACTGGTTGCACACGGGTGCTGGGAGCAGCCCCTCGATGACTCGTGCGGGTGGCATCAGACCTCTGGGCCAGGGGGTCCATGACGGATGGGCAGGTACCTCAATTTCTCCAGAGCCAGCATGGAAAGATGCCGAAGGTCTGTGCACAGGTGGTCCCTTGGCTCTTCTTCCAGCAGCGCCTGCAGAGCACAACCAGGATGGCACCTGCTGGCAGCTGCCAGCACCCAGGGCCTCCAGTCCCTGACCCACCCAAGCGCTGTCCGCACAGGCTGTCTGTGCCAGGGGGCTTTGCTCCCTTCGCCACATTGCCCAGAGTGCCCTCACCTTGATGTTCTCTGCCAGCTGGTACATGTCACAGAACAGATCCAGGCCCTGGGTCAGGCCGTGCTTCAAGGCGCTTCGGCACAGCACGGAGATGCTCTGAAGAAATGTGGCCTTGTCTCTCTCCTCCTGCCAGCCGGGGGACAGAGACACAAACATGGATTGTGAGTGGGCGGACACAGCCAGTGGGACCGCAGCACTGGGGGTGCAGTGCCCTGCAGGAGAAGCAGCCCTGCCCTGCCAGCACCCCTCCAGCAACCGGGCAGCACAGCCCCTGCCAGCAGACAGCAGCACAGCCGCCCTCCAGCTGGCCCCAGTTACCTTGTTGGAGCTGGTGACAAAGGCCAGGATGGAATCAACAGCTTCCTGCTCCTCCTTGTAGATGGGCAACCAGCTGGCATCTAAGGGGGGAAAGAGCAGGGAGAGCTGCAGAGGGTCCAGCGAGAGGAGGGGGCAGAGGATATCTGCCCTCCACCCAGCTCTCTGCCCACTGCCTTGGCACGGCCTTCCCTTGCAGCTCCTGGCTGGAGGGTGCCCAGCAGAGGAGCTGCCATGCCTGGGAAAGCCCCAGTGCCCCAGGCTGAGGAAGGCAATGGCAGACAGGCAGGAAAGGCCCAGGCTCCCACAGCACGGCTGCCTCCTGCCAGCCCAGCTGGCCCTCGCTGCCCACAGCCCAGAGCCCCTCTGCCCTGTCCTTCTTTGGGAGAGGCTGTGCTGGGGCTGCGCTCCAGCCCTGAGCAGTCCCAGCTTTCAGGCAACATCATGGCTGACCCCCGGGACCCCCGTTGTCAGCTGGCCAGGAAAGTGGGATCCTGGTGTGCTACAGTCTGTGCTGGTGGGCCCCAGCCCTGCCCAGCCCCACAGGGCCCCTCACTCACCGAGCTTGAGGGGCTGCATACTGGTCACCTCGTAGGAGGATGGAAGCTGCAGACCTGGAGAGCGGCTCTCCTGGGAAGAGCTGTCTTCCATCCAGGCCTGCCTGGGGCAGGCGTGGGGTCTCTTCTCCATCCTGTGAATCAAAGAACACAGGGGAGCCTGCCTACGGAGGGCGTCCGAATGGTGGAGTCAAACACCCTCGGGAAAAATGCCGCGGCCAAATCGCCTCAGGCAAAGTGCCTCAGGCAAAAGGCCTCAGCAAAAGGTCTCAGCCAAAAGGCCAAGGCAAAGTGCCTCGGCCAAAAGGCAAAGGCAAAGCACCTCAGCCAAAAGGCCAAGGCAAAAGGCCTCAGCCAAAAGGCCAAGGCAAAAGGCCTCAGCCAAAAGGCAAAGGCAAAAGGCCTCAGCCAAAAGGCCAAGGCAAAGTGCCTCAGGCAAAGGCCAAGGCAAAGTGCCTCAGCCCAAAGGCCAAGGCAAAGTGCCTCAGGCAAAGCGCCTCAGCCAAAAGGCCTCGGCCCAAATGCCTCAGGCAAAAACGCTTCGGCAAAACGCCTCAGCAAAACACCAAGTTCCCACGGGGCCACCAAGGGTCGTGGACAAGACGTGGACTGCAGTCGGGGGCTTCTCGCCAGCACCGCACTCCTCTCCTGTCCGGTCGCCGTCCTGACGGACACTGACCCACTGTGGGCCACGGTCGTGCTGAGCACACCTGCTGCAGTGGGTGTCACAAAGGGCCCCTCTGTGACACGCTGCCGGCCGCTAGCAACAGGTCCCAGTGCTTGTTGACATGGCACCTGCCCCCAGCAACGGGTCCCAGGGAGCCACCACGCAGGCTGGAACAGGCAGGGTGCCCCTGGGGACACAGGCCTGCCTCAGCCCTTGGCACTCAGCTGCCCTCAGAGTGTCTCCAGGCCCCACTTTGCTCTCATGTCTCCTTGGGACATCCCAAGGAGCCCCATGTTCAGACAGCCCTGCGTGCCCCCAGGACATCCCTTTCCTGTCCCCACACTGCAGAGCCTGGCCTCAGAGCCCTTCAGTCACATTAAATGCATAACGTTTGCTCAAGCTTAACAGAAACCATGGCTTTTGTCACCTTTTCTCTTTCTCCCACTGACCAGCAAGAGCTTTTCCCCACTCAACAGCTCTTCCAGCACCGGGCTGCTCAGGAGCCCTCACAAGGCCTTTGCTGCATCCCAGGCCCCTGCGTGGCACCCCGAGCTGTCCCAGGGGTGGCTGAGTGGCCCTGCCAGGCTGGTGGAGTCTTGAGGGGGGCTTAGGGTTGAAGGGCAGAGGATGGTACCCAGGGGGATCCAGTTGGAAGGGCCAGGCTCCTCAGCGTGCTGGGAGCTGTCATCTGCTGGCACAGCCCAGCTGAGCGGCCGCATTGGTCCATCTGAGGGTCCAGGAGCTGTAGTCCTGCTGCTCTTGCCTCAGTTCTGTGTCTCTTCTACAGAATCAGACCAAAGAAGCCCCCAGAAGCCCAAAGGGCCCTGGAACAGCCCCTCTCTGACAGCCCCAGAGGTGCCCCGGAGCTGCCTGCCAGCCCAGCTGGCCCTCGCTGCCCACAGCCCAGAGCCCCTCTGCCCTGTCCTTCTCTGGGAGAGGCTGTGCTGGGGCCACGCTCCAGCCCTGAGCAGTCCCAGCTTTCAGGCAACATCATGGCTGACCCCCGGGACCCCTACAATAAATAACACAAGTGGCCGTTGTTTTTCTGCTTTGCTCGATCCCGGAAGTCGCTGCTGCAGCGGGCCCGTGTCTAAAGCTGCTCTTTCCAAGTCTCACAGTCCTGGTATTCGCCTACAAAAAATTGTTGAATTTAAAAAAAAAAAGAAAAGATGTGGCAATGCTGTTCATGAAGCCTTCAGCAGTCACCAAGAGTTCTGTTCTGCAGAGATTTCAACTATTTCCTAAATTCCACACTCATGGCTTCAGGCCATGACTTGCCAGAGCAGTCCCAGAGCTGGCCACTGCCCAGAGATGCCCTGGGGCAGCTCCAGTGCCCAAGTGGGACAAGTGGCCCAGGGTGTGTGGGAGCCCTTTGGAGCAGGAGCTGGTGGGCAGGAAGGGCCCATCTGGGGAGAGGCAGGGAATCCCCCCCTGCAGCCCTGCTGCCCAGGCTGAGGAGGGTCCTCTCCAGCCCAGCAGCACATTGTGTGCCCTTGGGGGCTGCGCTGCCAGGGCTGTTCCCAGGAACTGACTGGCCAAGGTGAGGAGTCAGAGACTGAAATGGTTCATGACTGTCCTGGGTTAAAAAGGGTTTTCCCCTGGAGTTGGAAAGTGGTTAACCCCAGGAGGTGGTATTCTTGGTGTTAACCCAATCAGCACCCCTGCAAAATTAAACATATCACAACAGGCCAGAAAAGAAGAGATTATGTAGCTGAAAGAAGAACAGCAGCCATGGTCTGAGACCACGAGGACAGAGGGGGCCAGGGAGCCCCGCTGGGGGCCAAGACCCCCCAGCCCCCTGGCTGGGGCTGTAGAAACTCGGAAAAGGGTTAAACTGGGCCCAGTACTGTGGCCAAGAGCCGAGGGAGTTTTTCTCCACTGTGAGTGGGCAGCAGGAGCGGCGGCAGAGACAGCACCGAACAGAGAGCTGTGGCTGAGAGCCAAGAAGACAGTCAGCAGGAGCGAGGTGGTACAGAGCCAAGCTGAGAGACACAGAGATGCCCGACGGAGAGACAGAGCACCAGGCTCAGCAGAGACTGTTTGGGGTGAGCCTGGCTTTATTTCTCCAAACCCTTTGAGACCCCTCTTGGAAGGAGGGGGTGGACTTCCACTTGAAGGGAGTCCTGAAATGCAGCAGCAACTAGAGAGAGAGAGAGAAGCTGAGAAGCTCAGAGATGTCCTGGAGCTGGACCAGGACAGCCAGGAGGAATGTGGAGGGGGGAAGAGGCCTTCCTGCCCCCCTTCGCCATGCCGACAGTTTGAGACGGAGCAAAGGAGCTCTGCTAGAACACTTGGGGCAAAAACTGAACTGAAAGCCCCAAACGTTCTGACTCAGGAGGAACTTGAATCCCCTGCAGAAGGGACTGTCAGGGGTACCCAGTACCCCGTGATATGACTGTGGAGAGGTGAGCCTTGTCCCTGCTTTCACAGTCCACGGGAGAGAGACCTTTGGCTGGAGCCGAAGGGCCGAGGGGTGAGAGAAGACCCCTGTGTTGTAATAGTGAGAGAGAGAGACTTTACAGCTACAACAAATCCAGCTATGACTGCTGCCTTGAGGAGAGACACTGCTGCCCTGAAAGTGGAAAGGATCTTTTCATCTTCCCTTCAGAACTTTTATTGAAGGGAAAGGAGGGATTTGATCTAATGTAAATATATTGCTTTTCTATAGGAGAGAGAGTTAGAATTGTGTATATAATGTATTATAGTATTTATTTGTGTAAGCAATAAACTGTAATATAATTCCTTTCCCCCCATACTGAGCTGTGTTTAGTCTGAAAACCCTCTCACACTGAAACAAATTGGGGGGGGTGTTTGGACTTGGAAATTGGATTTTTGAGGATCTCAAACTGCCACAATGATTTATGCATTCTAGGATTGCCAGGGCACTTTTGCAGGCTGGGAAGAGGCAGCTGGACCCATCCCCCCTGCCAGTGCTGCTGAAGGTGTCAAGCCCTGAAAAGGCGAGAAGAGCCGTGTTTACCAGGCCCCTCACGGGAACTCTGCGCAGGCCCAGCAGACCTTGGAGGCTCGAGGCACGGCCCGGGACACCATCCATGGATATAATAACTCATAACTTCTTGGAGTGTGGGGGCTACCCTCCCCCACCCCCAACGGATCAAGGCCACCACTTCAACTCACAGACATTGGAGCTGCAACTCCCATCACTGGACCCCGTGGGCAGTGACTATAGACATCTTTCCACTCTCAGCTTTGCTTTCCCTTACTCTCCCTTACCCTTATCCTGCCTTTCCCTTATGCATTTTCCCTAAAGGTTCTCTTTATGCCACATTCCTAAAGATGAGAGATATAGATGATAACACCCAAAATGGCAACATACTTGTTTACCTTTGAAATGAAATTGTTCTAAAATAAACCCTACATACATATGTTTTCAAACACTGATTATTTAGTTTCATTTCACTCTAATCCACCCCCAGGGATTTATTAATAAGAACATGGTTACCCCCCCCTTTCTGGGGTGGGTAGTAACAGGCCCCTTGTAGCAGGATGTTCTGCCTGGAAAAGAATCTGATGGGAGAATGTAAGCACTGCAAGCTCTCTGTGGGGAGTTACTGCTGGTGCCAAGGGGTTGGTTTAGTGTTGAATTGTGCCAAACCCAGCCTGGTTCCCCAACCTTCCAACACACATCCTGCTTTTGGAAGCAGAGTTTGACAGATCAGCTGCTTACTGGCCTGGGAAGATGTGACTGGCCATCCATCACTGGATAAGCATAAAAGCCCAGGGCCAACTTTCCTAGAGCAGATTCTTCCACAGACTTTGTTGAAGTGTGTGGAGCTTCTACCGTGAAGCAGGGAGGCCTCTTGATGGTCACTGCCCAGGGGGTAAAAGAAAGAGAGAGCTCTGCCTTGATTTATTTCTATCAGACACGGCCGGGCCCTCCCCGCTTCCTGCCGGGATCGGACACCGCCGGCGGCCCCGGCCCTGCCGGGCTCCATCAGCCTCAGCAATTGCTGCCAAGGAGGGGCCGGGGGCTTCCTCTTGGCCTTCGTCTCCCTGGCGCTGGGGCTCGGCTTCTACCTGCGCCAGAAGGTGAGGGGGGTCCCAGGGGGTCGTGTGTCCCCCCAGAGCGTCTGTGCCCCCCCGGGGACCCCCCACCCCGGTGTCACCCCCTTTTCTCTCCCCACAGAGCTCCTGAGCCGGCGGCGGCCGCAGCCCCTCCCCGGGGCCTCGGGCCCAGCCTGGACCCCCCCTGTCCCTGTGAGGATTTTGGGGGGGTCGTGTGTCCCCCCCTCCCCTGCTGCCACTCCTGATCCCAGGAAAGCTTCCCAGTTCTCCCCAGTCCCGGGTATTGGGGGGAGGGGCTTGGGGGAACCCCAAGGAGTGGAGCTGAGTTTGGGGGGGGCAGAACCAGCCCCAGGATGGATTCGGAATGGGGACCCCCCTGTATCCCCTCATGTCAACCCGCTCTGGGGGAGCTTTGGGAGGGCACCTGCCCCTCAATGGGCACCCAGCTCACCCCAAAAAGGGCTGGGACCCTCCCCAAAGCTCCCCACTGTCCATCAGGGTCCCCCAAACCCACTCAGAGCCCACCCAGGACCCCACCCACCCCCTTCTCTGGGGGGACTTCTCTGGGCACTGGTGGTGCTGGGAGCCCCCCCAGCTGTGGACGAGGAGCTCTTGGGTGAGTGGAGGACGGGAAGGAAGGGG